TCCCTGCCTGACAGGGAAGAGTGGGTGGGGTGAGAAATGAACCAAGAAGGAGTCAGGAATCGCATCCCCCATCCTATAACGCCTCAGGGTCTGGCAGTTAGAAGTGGGGGCAGGTGGGGAGTCAGCAGCTGGCTGAGACTTTCAGGCCCTGAAGATTTGCTAATGTTGGAGGCAAGCAGAGAGACCGGGAATCCAGGGGAAGGAGATGGTGGTGGAGGGGCACAATGGGACTCAAGTTCAAGAACAATCCGTCAGCCAGAAGCCATTGGCTTGTGCCTGTCTTTGTAGCTACTCAGGAGCCTGAGAGCTGAGGATTGTGGTTCTAAGCCATCCTTGGCAGCAAAGCATGTGACTCTTATCTCCAGTTGCCAGAAGTGGAGCTGTGGCTCAAGTGGTCGAGTACCAGCCTTGAGCCTAAAAGCTAAGGGTCAGTGCCCAGGTTCAGTTAAAAGAAGAGAAAAGAAAAGAAAGCCAGGTGCTGGTGGCTCTCACCTGTCATCCTGGCTATTCAGGAGGCTAAGATCTGAGGATCGTGGTTTGAAGCTGGCCCAGGCAGGAAAGACTGAGACTTATCTCCCGTGAACCACGAGAAAACCGGAAACAGAGCTGTGGCTCAAAGTGGTAGAGCAGGGCTGGGAAGGTGGCTCAGTGGTAGAGCGCTTGCCTTGCATGCATGAGGCCCCGGGTTCAATTCTCCAGCATCACATAAGCAAAAAGAAAAAAGCTGGAAGTGGCTCAAGTGGTAGAGCGCTAGCCTTGAGCTGAAGAGCTGAGGGACAGCGCCCAGGCCTAGAGTTCAGGCCCCACGACCGGACCCCCCCCCCCCAAAAAAAAAAAAAGTGGTAGAGCACTAGCCTTGAGTGAAAAAGCTCAGGGACAGTGCCTAGGCTCTGAGTTCAAGCCCCACAACGGACCAAACAACAACACCAAAAGAAAAACACCGGTCCTTCCAGTTGTTGGGTGGAGAAGGGGTGGTGGGGCTATCTCCAGGCTGGAGATGCTGACCCAGTCCTGCCTGGTCACAGGGAAGGTACAGAGCAGAGATGGGCGTGGCTCCAGAAGATGTCAAGAACAATCCCAGGGGCTCGGGGAAGGGCAGCAGGGCCAAGCGTGGTTCTCAGGATGCTGGCTCTGGGGATTTGGGGTCCTCTGGGCAGATGTCCAGGTTGTGACTCAGCAGCTGGGTTGGCGTGTAGCTAAGCACTTGCCCATCAAGTGCAATGTCCTGGGTTCAATCCACAGTACCAAAAAGAAGACCCAAAACAATGCAGTTAAAAACAATTCAGCAGACTGAGGAGGAAGCCAAGTTCTGTTCTAGACAGAGATATAGGGGGCTGCTGGGAGCCATCTTCACCCAGCTAAATCCTCTAACCTGTCTGCCTCTGGACCCATCTACTTGGCTGCCCTCTGCTGCCCCCTGCTGCCCCCTCCTCCCCTCTGCTGCCCTCTGCTGCCCTGGAAGTCTGTTGGCTTCTAGCAGTTCCTCTCAAGTCACCACTGTGCACAGACAGCCTGAAAGTCACCCCAGGCTTGGGACGGGAGGGAGTGAGCCCCATGTGCTAGCTCACCAGATAGGACTTAAGACAATGCTGCCACGATCAATTGCCATCACCCCTGAAATGAGAAACTGCCAGCCAGATTCTGACGTCAAAGGAGAGAACGTGGGAGTCCCTTGACACTCACAAATTCCTTTTCCCTCGTTCTCCAAGAAAACCAGCCCCTGGTGGTCCCAAGAACAGAGAACACCAAGCAAGCTCCACCTAGCCCATAGCACACCCATCCCAGGCTGGGGTCTGGCTCCTGCCTTCCAGAGCCTATATATCCCATCTAACTCTACACTGGGGACCAGGCTGTGACTGCCCTGGGGTTGTCCCCTCCCCCCCCCCCCTGCGCTGTTCCTCTTGCTGCCCCTATTGTACAAGTCCTTTGTCTCCTTCTTGAATCAGAGGCTGTACCTTTCCACCTGACCCTTGGTGCTGGGTTCTGGATCCTTATCAAATAAGGCCTCATAAGTGTCATTTCCTGAAAGCACAGGGAGAATGGCCACCCTATGTAGAAAATTCCATCACTGAGGCTGAGATCTGAGGATCGTGCTTCAAAGCCAGCCTGGGCAGGAAAGTCCATGAGATGCTTATCTCCAGTGAGCTACTCAGACAAAGCTGGAAGTGGTGCTGTGGCTCAAGTGGTAGAGTTCTAAGACTGGCATGTATGTGAGTATGTATACACACGCGTGCGCGCACACACACACACACACACACACCATATCCCCAAAACCCTTTGGATGATTAGCAACATTTGAACAAAAAATATTAAGATGTTGGGGGCTGAGAAGGTGGCTCAGTGGTAGAGTGCTTGCCTTGCATTCATGAGGCCCTGCGTTCGATTTCTCAGACCACATAAATAGAAAAAGCTGGAAGTGGAGCTGTTGCTCAAGTGATAGAGCACTAGACTTGAGCTGAAGAGCCGAGGAACAGCGCCCAGGCCCAGAGTTCAAGCCCCATGACCAACAAAAAAAAAAAAGAAGTTGAACCATGTTTCATCTGGGGGGTAGGTACTAGTGGGAGGGGCCAGAAAAAATGCTATCCCAAAATCCCCATTGATTTTTCAAGTCAAACCTATACCCAAATTCTGGGATCATTCTGAGAGCTTCTTATAGGTACCTCAATTACTCCACCTAGTCCAAGCCAAAGGTCTAATGACTCCTCCATTTGGGAGACTCATTTAAAATAGGTTTTGAAGTAGGAGTAGGAGTTTATTTTTTAAGAAGTGGATGTGGTGATAAACACAGCCCTGTTCCAGTTTTGGGTGTAAGGACACAGGGGAAGGAGGGAGGACTGCGTTGGTTTGCATGATGAGGAGGAAGCCATAGACTCTGATGTCTGAGGGGGCTGGGTTCAAATCTCAGCATTGCTTCTTTCTAGTTGGTGCCTAGGGCATGATATTTAACCTCTATAAATATTGACGTTGTTAGTTGTAGAAAGGGGGTATGAATACTGGTTTGTTGGGGCTGCAATGGGGACAGAATAAGTATAATAATTGCACCCCACATAACACATCCTTGGTTTCCTTTTGCCGTGACCGTGGAATAGTTACTCGGGCCTCTGATTAACCTGGTACAACCCTTAGAAGTCCCCAAGTTAAGAAAGGAAAAGTCATCGTAAGCTGGGTGCTGGTGGCTTACGTGTGTAACTCCAGCTACTCAAGAGGCTGAGATCTGAAGATGGATGTTTGAAGTCAGAAACATCAGTGAGATGCTTATCTCCAGTTCACCAGCAAAAAGCTGCAGGTGGAGCTGTGACTCAAGTGATAGAGTGCCAGGCTTGAGCAAAAAAAGCAAAAGCAAAAACAAAAAAAGCTAAGGGAAAGCACCCAGGCCCTGAGCTCAAGCCCAAAGCCCAAAGCCCTGAGCTCAGGCACCAAAACAAACAAAACAAAAGCCATGACAATGAGACCAGCTCAAAATGTAAGCACACTGTTTATTTTTCCCTCAGGTAGGAACAAGACCAGCTGTGTGCCAGGGCCTGTGAATCCCCGGTCCTTTGGTGACCCAGCCCGGTTTCCATGGTAACACGACCATCCTTGCTCCTCAGGCAGGAGGTGGGGCAGGGAACATGGAAGGAGGTTCCCCAGCTCCCTGGGGGTACCCCTGTCCCCCTGAATGTTCTGTGGAGGAGGGGGCGGCTTCCGCCTCCTCTACAACTTCCTCCTCTGTGGAAAGACGAGCAGTGATGGGAATCTGCTTTCTTCTCCCTAACTCCATGCTGCTCCCATGGCTCCTGACCACCCTCCTCTGGGCACTGGTCCTGGTTCTCACACCTGGCCTTGTGTGAAATGCCAGACAAAAAAACCTTCCATAAGCCGGGCGCCGGTGGCTCACGCCTGTAATCCTAGCTACTCAGAAGGCTGAGATCTGAGGATCATGGTTCAAAGCCAGCCCAGGCAGGAAAGATGGTGAGACTACTCTCTCCAGTAAACCACCAGAAAACCGGAAGTGGTGCTGTGGCCAAATGGTAGAGTGCTTGCCTTGAGCTGAAGAACTGAGGGACAGCACCCAGCCCCACAACAGACCAAAAAACCCCCCAAACCAAAAAACAAACTGCCATACAGGACTGTCAACATTGTAAACCCCAAAGAGGACAGTTTGGGCAATTAGCCCCCCAGCAGGACAGGACAAAGAAGAGTCTCCTAGAATGTATAAAAACCTAAGCGCCACCCCCTGACCCCCACCCTAAACTCCCACTCTTCATCTCTCCAACCCTGCTCAGTGTTCCATGGAGTCTGTCTGCAGCCATGATTAAAGCCTGTTCTGGTCTGCTGAGGTCTCTGCCTTCTTTCTCTCCTTTCGTCCACTTGATCTTTCCTACTGCTCATCCACATTATGGATAAGGAAAGTGGAGGTTCCCAAAGGCAGTGGGGAGCCAACTGCTTGGCTTTGACCCTGGCCACTGTGGAGTTCTGAGGCCCAGGAAAGGGCTTCAGCTTTATCACAAAGGCCTTTCACTTCCTGTGGGAAAATGAGCACAAAGAACAAAGCAGGTCTTGGCCAGGAGCCCCAAGGCCAGGCTGTGTGTGGCCTTATTGAGGGGTTGGGGAGGCTGGGGTCTGAGAAGTTGATCATGGCTTCCCTATTCTGAGCATTCTGGGTGCTCTGACCTTCATGATCTTCCCAAAGCCTGCAGGCCAAAAGCCAGGCCTCCCAGCTGCACCTCTAGGAAGTGGGGAGGTGGGGGGGGGGGACTTCCTGGTAGAGCTGAATACAAAAATGTAGAGCAGGGCTGCGGCCATCCCCGGAAGGGAGATAGACACAGACCCTTGACATCAGCTTCACCTCTTTTAAGAAAGAAGCCTCTGGGGGATGTGTGTGTGTGTGTGTGTGGGGGGGGTGTCATGGGGGAACACTTTACTTGGTAGCATGGAATGCAAAGGGAATGAGTGCCCCCTGGGGAAACGCTGGGTCCCCAGGGGGAAAGGCTGGACTCCAGTCTGTGGGAGCCAGCCTGCTACTCAGAGGACTCCTTTGGCATGTAAGCCACGTTGTCGTAGGCAGGGGGTGGAGAGGCCGTGGGGCTGGGGATGTTGAAGTCCGTGCTGAAGGCATTTGGCAGGAAAATCACAGACTGTAAAGAAGAGAAAAACCTCAGTGCAAGTCCTGGGCAGGCTCTGAGGCTGTCAGCCAGCCGGGACTCTGAGAAAGGCCCCTACAGATGTGTTCTGCAAGGTGGAACTGTGCACGCAGAAGGCGCATTCAACTATCAGTTCAGAAAACAATCCCCTCATTAGTTTACAAAGGAATTTCTCCAGGAGCCATAGTGTGCCTGGGCAGTGTCTGCTCTGGTTTGGGGATTCCATAGATCTTGCCTGGGCCTCTGGCTGCTTCCTGGGTGGACAGATCTTGTGGGTGGGATGGCCTTTCACCCCAAGCCCACAGTGTCTTCATCCTCCAGACCCCATGCTGCAACATTTGCACTTAGGGCTTCCTCTGTCCGGAATCCCCTCCTCCCCAGCACTCCCCTACTCTAGCCCAGGCCTCCCATTTGCCATGGAGGATGGAGTGTCAGTGCCCCTGGTATGGCGCCCCCTGTGGCCATGAAGTGAATAGGCCCATCTTCATCCACCCCTGAAAGCTTCTTCAGGTCTTTTGGTGTCTGAGAGTGGAAGCTCAGATCCGCCATATTGTTTTTCAGAGGCAAATGGGAAGAGGCTGGGGGGCAGAGAGGCTGGGAAGTCTCCCTCAAGAGCCCAGATTGGGAGTACTCACTGCATTGGCTTGGGCACGAGTGGCTTGACATCCGAAGTGGGTAGCAATGACTGCGATAAAGAACTCCAGGATGGTAAAGATGGTGAGCACGGCCAAGTAGCCCCTGCCCACATCCTGGAGACCAAAATCCACAGTCAAGGCCAGTCAAGAGTGCCCCCCTCCCCACTCACTGATAACCCAGCCAAGCCAGGTGCTGGTGGCTCATGCCTGTCATCTTAGCCACTCAGGAGGCTGAGAGCTGAGGATTTCATTTTGAAGCCAGTCTGGGCAGGAAAGTCCGTATGACTCTGATCTCCAGTTAACCACCCCAAATCTGGAATGGAGCTGTGGCTCAAATGGTAGATAGAGCACCAGCCTTGAGCAAAGAAGCTCAGGAACAGTGCCCTGATCCAGAGTTCAAGCTCCAGTACCAATACCAAAAAGAGAAAAATAACCTAAGGTTGGCCCACCAGGTGGGGGATGAGCTCCCCGCTGTCAGCCCAGCCTTCTCCTCTCTGCCAGGCTGTCTCTGTGCTCCACCTGGGGCATTTGCATTCTTGAGGCAGGGTCATGAGATCAGTACATACATGGATTCTGTTGGGACTGGAAGGGTCCAGCGCTGTAGACTCTTTTGTCCCTCCCCTTCATGGGTACCATCCCACCATCCCACTTTTACCACCAGAACTTCCAACAACACACCCAATTGGTGACGCCAAAATCCATGAGCAAGATGGCCGTCCCAGCGAAGGCCGCCATGGCACTGAGAGCGTTGGTTCCCAGGCTGCTCCTCACCTGCAGGAGGCAGAGAGATGGAGAGGAGCAGGGGGCACAGGAGAGAGAGGAGAAAGGCCAAGAGGCCAAGAGCCCCATCTCAACATTCTCTCTCCATGGACAAGACAGCTGTGGCCATACTAGATGATCCATGCATAGTTGTATTGTTTGGACTGCCTTCCCTGCCTCCTCCTCTTCCTCTTCTTCTTCCCTTCCCCCTTCCTCGTTTCCTCCGCTTCTTCCTCCTCCTTCATTTCTTCTTCTTCCTCCTCCTCCTCCTTCCTCCTCCTTTCTCCGAATGACTGTGAATACTCTATCCCAGGGCCCACACTTTCTACCCAGGATGGCATTTTGGAAGCACAGCTGTGTATAAGGATTGGGGGTCGCCCATATGGGGCACATAGGAGCTCCCAGGAAAGGATGGTTGAATGGGCCAAAGAGTACGTGGATAGGAGGCAAAGAGTTGGGTGGGAGCCAGTGCCACCCTTGCTCCTGGTCCCCAGCTGCTTGCAGGACTCACCAGGCAGCTGGCGTGGTTCTTCTCGGCTGCCACTGAGAGGGAGCCGGAGATGATGAACTGTGGGGAGAGGAGGCCCAGTGAGGTTTTGTCTGGGGCGCTGTGCAGGTCACACCCTCCCAGATGCCAGGGAGAGTGCAGTAGCTACTTCCCAGCCACCGCCTTGTCTGTCTCTTGGTCATGCTCCTTGGAGTGTCTCTAAGGCTGTCTGAGGAAGTCTTTAGGGGTTATTAGCACCTCCTACCCAGGGAACATGGGCCAGTAGCTTCCAAAGTAAATATTTTCATTGACATTATATCAGAGTCTCATGAAGAAGGCGCTGTTCTTTCAAGCATTCATTCATCACACATTACCAAAGGTGTGGCCTAAGTATGGGACAGCTGGGCAAGAGGGAGGGGCTGACATTCTAATTAGGCAGCCTGGGTAACTTAGTAAACGCACAAAGGGGAGAAGTAGAGAGGGCTGCAGTGACAGCATAAGGTGTCCTGGGGGCGGGCTACTCGAAGTTAGAGGGCAGGGAAGACCTGTGAGAGAAATAGAACATGGAGGGTGCCACAGTTGTTTCCAAAGATGGTTCTGGATAGACCTGTGTTATGGCGCCCACACACGGGGCGATTAGCTCACACTGAGTTCTGGGTGGGTCCTTGAGACTGGCTTTGGTGAGGGAATGGAGCCGCCTGGTCCTGTGTGGTCCTGGTCTAATGCTCAGCAGGCCGGCAATGCGCTGTGCTCAGCTGTCATTCTGGAAGGCTCTGAAGAATGAGGCGTGTGGAGAGAAGCCAGCAGGGGTAAGGGTAGGGGGAGGCTAGGCTGAGGTTTACCATGAAGGTTAGGGGTAAGGAGTTAGGGTTAGACCCCTGCCCAGGAGAGGCTGAGCTCAGGGAGAATGTCAGGGGTGGGGTCGGGGGAGAGGTGAGCAGGGCCCCCCTCCACGGTCCCCACACTCACGCAGGCTCCGCCCCAGAAGGGGACACCACCTTCGATGAAGAGCATGCCCAGCGGGCCACGGCGCACCATGAGCAGCACGCTGCCAAAGCCCAGGTGGATGAGGCCGATCAGGATCTGCACCGTCTGTGGAAAGCAGCCAGGGCTCAGCCAGGCCAGGCTCAGCCCACTCTTGGGGCTCGAACTCAGGGCCTGGGCACTGTCAATGAACTCTTCTTGAGAGGCTGACACTCTACCACTTGAGCCGCACCTCTACTACTGGTTAATTAGAGATAAGAGTGTCAGATCACAGACTTTCCTGCCCAAGCTGGCTTTGAACTGAGGTCCTCAGATCTCAGTCTTCTAAATAGCTAGGATTACATGTGAGCCACTGGTGCCTAGTTTAAATGGAAGTGTTTTGATTATCTATCTATCTATCTTTCATCTGTCATTTACTGTCTCATAGAGACCAATATCTCAAGGCCATCTGAGATTCCAAAAGAGTTCAAAAACAGACTTGTATGCAGGGTGAGCCCACAGGCCGTGGGTCTGGCCTACCCCTCCGTTTGTATTATATTTCCCTCCTTCCTTTGCGCATCGTGTTACATCCCCTCCTTCCGTCTCTTCCTTGAGCAAGCCACACGCATTCTGACCTCAGGACCTTTGACTGTGCGCTCTTCTCTATCTGGCAAATCCTTTCCCCTCACACATTCCCCTCCACCAGATCTCCCATGGGTTGGCTTCAACCTAACACCTAAGATTTGGCTGCCATGTTACATCTGTCTCTTCATGCCCCACAGTGAACTTTCAGCCCTTCCTTGCTTATGAGACTCATCTACTACACTCAGCCTCATTGTCCTCTGTGGAGTTCTCTTGGTTGTTTGTTCACAGTCTTGGTGAATGGGGAGGGGAGGGGGACAGGTCCTTGTCTATTTAGTGCAGGATGGTCTTTGCTACATGTCTTCCTCCTCTTCCCCTCTTCCAGCACAAATGCTCAGGCATCAGCCCCCACTACCTGCTCAGCACCTGCATCTAAGGTCCTGCAGAGAAGCCATTTATTCTCACCCCCAAAGCTTTGGGCTCTCCAGTCAGAAACGTGTCCACCGGACGCAGGTCAGGGGGTTGGGTGGCCCTGGGTGCTTGCGTCCCTAGCGGTGGCTCTTCAAACTGCATAATTCCGGGAGGCTGGCACATGGAGGTGGGCAGAAGAGTGGGAGGTGGGCGGAGGCCACTGGCGTTGTTGGGTGGGATGACGACAAACACTCCATTGCTGGCCGGAGGGGCGGACATGGTGCTCAGAGGGCCTGGGAAACAAAGGCTCGGCAGATAGTAAGGGCAGTAATGGAGGCGACACATTTGCAGAAATAGCAAATTACCTTACCTTGCTTTACTGCCCTCCCAGAGGGGCTGGGGGGGGCGCCCCAATCCTGGACCACAGCCAGGGAGGTCAAGACTCACATGAGGAGTCCAAGACCCAAGGCTTGCCCTCAGGGTGAGGCTGAGACTCAATCCCAGACTTCCTGATCTTAATATCTATACTATATGATGTGGAAGGAGCTTTAGTTTTCACCTCCAGGCCTTCTGTGTGTGGGGCATGCATCCTATCTGCGAGCTATACCCTCATCCCAATGGAACCTCTTGGAGGATCAGGTCTTGAAGTGTCCTCCTTTCCTTACAGATGGTATGAGACTTGCCCAAGAACACAGGGCTAGTACAATGCCAGTTTCTTGATCCCGAGAATAGGACTTGCCTTCCTCTTCCAGCCTCTCTGCTCACAGCTGTTGAATCTGGGCATAGAGACTTCGTGGGGGACTTTCCTGACATGGAACCCATGAGACTCATCACCAACTAACTGCGGAAAACCGGAAGTGGTGCTGTGACTCAAAGTGGCAGAGCCCTGGCCTTGAGCAAAAGAGCTCAGGGACAGAGCCTAGGCCCTGAGTTCAGGGCCCCATGACCAAAAAGAGAAAAAAAGCTGTGCTGATCCTTGCCAGCCAAGATAGGTGCTTCACTGAGATGGTAAAGTGGACGATGGAGGTTCGTTGGAAGGCAGCCTGTGGATGTTGAGTGGTGTTATGGGGAAAATGAATCAAGCAGACGCAGGACAGTACTGAATGCTGTCTCCTGAGCATGCGTGGTGGTTCTCCAGTGGAGGTCTCCTTAGAACCATAGACCTGTGGATCCTCAGGGACTACTAGGTATAAAGACCTCAAGTTGCTTAGAGTCTCATGGAAGTGACAAGAGAAACTTGCACTTCAGTCCAACAAAACTCATGTAAGTATTTACTATGAGCAGCAGCAAGCTTAGGAGCTGGGAAGGAAGAGGTGAATAAAGGCAGGTAGCTGGGGATAGGTCCAGACTCCTGCTTTCCACTGGGAATAGTACTGACTTTACCGAATCAGTTGTCTCCTGGGGTCGAATCCTGGCTTTGGCAGAGTGAAGGGACCCACATTGTACTTCACCGCTTGGGAGTAACTTCTGAAATGCTTGGTTGGCAATCAGAGATCATTGAACTGAAAACCCACAGACTCTTGGATGAGTGGATGCCGGCCCTGCGTTCCCCGGAATCAATTCATTCTAAAAACCACCATGGTGCCACCTTAGTTGTGAAAGGATATTTTAATCCCAGAAAGTCAGGAAGGGCTTATTTCAAAATAAAAGGATAATGTCTTTTCACGGAACAGACTTAAAGAGGTGAAAAACACCGTCCTCCTTTTCACCTTTATGGGTGCCATTTCACCAGGGGCAGTTAAAATCTGTGAGCAGTTTAGCGCTGTGGGCAGAGTTGGTGGATGTTCTCTGGGGTGGATTGAGAAGGGCTGAACAACCCCGAGGGATCACGGGCATAATTAACAACATCTCTCTCAGATAGGTGGTGAGAACTTTGATAAAACAGAGAGCGTGTGATTCTCAGGAGAAGAGAAACACCTACAAAAATAGGCCGTTGGTCTTGAGGTAGGGGGAAGTGTCAATCTCAAGCAGGGATGTGTCAGAGTCTCATAAATACCTCTTTTATTCATCCTCTGAAGCCCAAAGCCAGGGTCTATTCATCTACCTGTTGGATTCCAAAAGCCACCTGGGCCAGGCTAGCAAGTCCCCACCACCCAGGCATGCATGGCAGGGTGGGAAAAAGGGACACTACTTTCCCCTCCCTCTCCCCTCCCAGAGGAGACACAGAACACACCTCCCTTCAACAACAGACCCCATGTCAGCTATCCAGGGAACAGAGGTAGAGACAGCACAGGCCTGGACCGTTTCCAAAAAACACTCATCCCAACCCTGTCCATAACACTGTGAAGGAAGTGTGATCTGCCTGTGCTGCAGACATGGTAAACTGAGGGTCACAGATGGCAGTGTGGATGGAGGGGGCCAGCAGGTGGGTCTCTGAGCCTGACCTATTTGCAGAGAAGTTAAAGCTGAAATTTCAGCTGGGTAAGGCTTTAGGGATAGCAGGTAGCTGAGAACCTGTCATCTTAACAACTCAGGAGGCTGAGATCTGAGGACCTTGGTTTAAAGTCATCCCAGCAGCAAAGTCTATGAGACCTTTTTTTTTTTTCTTTTTCTTTTGTCATTCGTGGGGTTGAACTCTGGGCCTGGGCGCTGTCCTTGAGCTCACCAGCTCAAGGCAAAAGCTCTACCTTTTGAACCATAGCACCACTTCCAGTTTTCTGGTAGTTAATTGGAGATAAGAGTTTCATAGACTTTCCTGCCTGGGCTGGCTTTGAACCCCAATCCTCAGATCTCAGCCTCCTGAGTAGCTAAGATTGCAGGCATGAGCCACTGGTGCCTGGCTCTATAAGACTTATCTCCAAGGAAATACCCCCCCCAAAAAACCAGAAGTGGAGCTGTGGCTCAAGTGGTAGAGTGCTAACCTTGAGCTAGGAGCCCACGGGACAGCTCCTAGGCCCTGAGTTCAAGCTCCAGGGCTGGTCCATACACATACACACGCAAAAGTGACAAAGCCTCAATTTAAGGAGCTGGCTGGGAGAAATTTGAACACAAAGTCTGCATATTGGTTCTGCGTGAGGGGAGAGACTCTCGAGGATGGGGTGGCAGGGCATGTCTGTAGAACACACACCCATCTAACACCCTTTCAGAGAAGCGCCACTTCAGGGAGGGAGATGCTAGCTCACAACCCCCCAGAAAAGCCCTCATTTCCCCTCCTTCCCCTTTAACCAGAGAAATCCCGTTCTCGCCTGCCTGTGCCTGGGTGGGAAGTCCAGCCTCAGGCAGAGCTAGCCATCACTGAGATGGGGCACTCTATCACCACAGCCTGGCAAGACAAGTCTTGGCCACAGGACTCTCTGTGAACCATTGCTAGATTGTTTTTAAAAGCTTATCCTAAAAGCCCACCTGTTCCTGGCTCAGCGCCTGGCATGCGGGAGGCGTCCATACCTGCTGGCGTCTCCTTGAAAGGTAGCACCATCATTGTACCTATGTTGCACATGTTGGTCCTGCAGCCAGAGGCTGCCCTTTAGTCCCAGCTGAGCCATTCCTGGGCAGCTGGGACATGTCTTAGGACCTTCTTCGTGAAGGACCAGAGACAGCTTTGTTCATTTCCAAGCCAGAGCTGCTGGCTGAGGAGGTGACAGGAGACGTAAGGGGGTGGGGGGTGGGTAACTTCTCTGAAATGGATAGGAGCATATCTGGGCAGAGACTGTGTACCAGAGTGCTGCAGCCTTGGTTAGTGGTCAAGCCTCAAGCCTTGGGGTTTATCCGGTAAGTGATGGAACTACCCCCCCCTCCCCCCGAGCTTAACTTGCTGTGTAACTTGGGGCAAGTTGCTTCTCCTCCGTGGGTCTCAGTTTTCCCATCTGTCAAATGAGTGGCTATGGTCTTGTGGAAGGTGAGATATCTCGGGCTTCCCAGGATGCCCCTGTCTACGTGCCCTGTCTCCAGCTCTGCTCCCTGGCCCGCCCTTTGGTGGACTGGGCAGAAACCTGTTCCTTCTGAATCTGGCCACATGGCACCAGGCAGTCCTGGGATTCTCCAGCCTCAGCCCTTCTGAGAGTCAAGAGATGGCCCAGGCTGTCTCACCGTTCCCACAGGTCTGGGAAAGACACCAAGAGATGGAAACACAGGACTAGGGGCAGCCCTTTCCTGTCCCACACCGGTGCTTCCCTGCCCGGCCTTCCTCAGGCCATTCTAATGCGGGCTCCATTCTTCTGTGCGCACGGCTGAGGCTCAGGGGGCAGGATGGCCCCCTGCCTTCCCTGCGTCTCATTTCTCTATCTTCAAACAAGGGTGAGATGGGATTTTATCCCAGAGCTCATTTCTAGTGGGGGAATCTGGAGAAACAGCTGCAGTTGGGGTTGGGCTCTCCTCTCTGGCCACCCTGGGGTTGGGTCAGAGCAAGACTCCAGTTTCCTGGGGGGGGGGGGGGGGTACCTGGGTCATGTCAGCCACTGGCTTTGAGGAGAAATGTCAGATACACCCCCTCTCCCCCCCCGATTCCCATGCAGTGGGGGTGCTGTGACCCCCCAAAACTGGCCGTCCCAAAAGGTCCTGGGCCCTCTTAGTGCTAAGAGGAAGACCCCTGGGGTCTAACCTATTGTGCCCAGTCCTCTCTTTCTGTCCCTAGGGGCCCCATGCACCCCTGATCCCAGTCCCCCCATCGTCTGGGCTGCCCTCAGGACGGGCAGCAGGTACTCACCAGGCTGCCAGGGTTGCTGTGCCGGCCGCTCGCTCCCCGCTGTCTCTGCACTCCTGCATTCACACATTTCCCTGTGAAAGCCTTGCTGTTCGCACGCGCACACGGGGCTTGGAAGTCTCTGCCTGTGAGCTGTGCCTCTGGGAAGGTCTCCGTCCCTCCCGGGCCCCGAGGTTTCTGCCTGGCTCCCTAGAGGAGGAGGCTGAGGGAGCTGGGAGGGTGTCACTGGCCTCCTAGTCCCAAAGGCTTCTCTTTCTCTTTGTCCACTCTACAGAAGGGGCCACTGAGGCCCAGGGAGGCCAGTGGGATGCTGAGGGTCCCCTGTGAGTGTCAGAGCTGGGATGGAGACCCATGCTGGCCTTCATCCTTCCCAGCACACCTGGAGAAGATGCTCTGGAGACACTACCCGCCTTCCCCCCCAGTGTGTTGGCCATTAGATAGGGGGGCTGTTGGTCCTCAGCTTCCCAGTGGCAGGGAGTTGAGTGTATGAGGATATGAGCAGGCATAGGTGTGTGTGTGCACGTTAGAATATGTAGAAGCACACATACAGGTGTTGCACACATGTTAAGGTGTGTGCCTGTGTATTTGGGCACACAGAATAGCACGCATGTGGCATAGGTACATGGAGAAATTGTGCATCAGTTTGTGGCTTGAAACTGAGGGTCTGGGCACTGTCCGCAAGCTTTTGTGCTCAGGGTTAGCACTCTACCACTTGAGCCACAGGTCCACTTTCAGCTTTTTTTTTTTTTTTTTGTGGTTATTTGGAGGTAAGAGGCTCATGGAGTTTCCTGCCTGGACTGCCTTTGAACTGCAATCCTCAGATCTCAGCTTCCTGAGTAGCTAGAATTACAAGTGTGAGCCACCTGCTCCCAGCTAGATTTCCTTTCTTTTCCTTTCTGTTTCCTTCTTCCTTCCTTCCTTCCTTGCTTCCTTCTTTCCTTCTTTTTTCTCTCTCTTTCTTTCCTTCTCTGCCTCTTTTTTCGTTGGTCGTGGGACTTGAACTTGGGGCCTGGGAGCAGCTATCCCTGAGCTCTTTTGCTCAAGGCTAATGCTCTACCACTTTGAGCCACAGTGCCACTTCTGCTACTCCTTACTTTAAGGGAGTTAAATTTTCTTTAAATGGTCTTTGACCAGAAACAAATGCTTAAATTTTCAAAAAGCAGACACTCCTGTCATGAGATCCTTTGACTATAAATCTTCTCCAGACACATTGCTTTCATGATGAACTCGTTGCACTTAATAACAAAACAATGGAAGATTTTCAGGTGACTATTTAGGGAAAGTTTAAGCTGAACTCTCCTCTGCTCTAACTTGTTCCTGGGAGGGAGGCTGCTTACTGAGCCCCTTAGCTCCCCCTCCCTGCATGTCAGAAAGTGTTTCTTTTCTCCCTCCTTACGTCTCCATGTTTTCTTCTGCTTTTCTTTTTTATTCCTTTTTCCTCTTTCTTTCTTTTATTTTTGGTGCCAGCTTTTCACTAGTTAAATTGGAGATAAGAGTCTCACAGATGCTCTTGTCTGGGCTGGCTTTGAACCTTGATTCTCAAGTCTCAGCCTCCTGAGTAGCTAGGATGATAGGCGTAAGCCACCCCTACCTGCTTATTCTGCTTTTCGAATAAATCGTTGCTGTCCCCTTACTTTGAGAGTCTCCTCATAGATTGCTTCAAAATTCTTTCTGTAGTTGCATTCTAGAACTGTGCATCCAGGGAGAGGCCTGGTTTTGGCTCACCCTGGTAATCCCAGCTACTTGCGTGGTAGGAGATCAGTGGGATCAAGGTTTTGGGCAAGCACAAGAAAAAAAGATCTCCAGATCCAGTCTCATGCAGCAGTGGGACCTGCCTGCCATTCCAACCACACTGGAAGCATAAACAGTGGTTGTGCAGTCCTGGCCAGACTCAGCCAGAAGCATGGCCTTACCTCACTAATAACTCGAAGAAAAGGGCAAAGCCCCAACTTTAAATCCAAATATCACCCAAACCCCTCCTCCCAAAAAAGCAGCAACAAAGAATAACCCCCGTTACGCCCCCCCCCCAAAAAAAACCCTCTGCAGATCCAAAGGGGTCACTGAGGAATTGAGCTGAGGATCTCTCTCTCTCTCCTACCTTCATATGCTTCACCTTCTACCTTCCCCTGGTGACAGACATAGACATTAGTCCCTATCTCTTATGAATCCCAACAGAGCAGCCTCAGGATTCCAGAGGATTTCTTTTCTGAGGCCAGTTGCACATCTCAGCTTATAAACGGTTGACCATGTTCGGGGATGACTCGCACGCTCTCTCCTGATGTCCTCCCAACAGTATGGCTCCTTATTGCAGTGAAAGTCCTCCCTGTCCTTTAGCCACCCACTCCCCTATTCCTACCTCAGTATGGCTTCTTCTCTGCTTCGTTGGCCTGCTGCATCACCAGATCCACCCCTGTGTTCCTCTGGCCCCTCCCCTGCAGCACCTTTCTTCTGATCTCCAGAGTTCCTGGAAAACCAAAGGGACTATATCATGTTGCTCAAGATTGCCCTTCCTTGCTGTGCTCAGGTGGCGCACGCCTGTAATCCTAGCTATTCAGGAGGCTGAGGTCTGAGGATCACAGTTCAAAGCCAGACTGGGCAGGAAAGTCCCTGAGACTCTGATCTCCAATAAACCACCAGAAAACTGGAAGTGGTGCTGTGGCTCAGGTGGTAGAGCACTGGGCTTGAGCTGAGGAGCTGAGGGACAGTGCCAAGGCCCAGAGTTCAAGTCTCATCACCGACCAAAAAAGAAAAAAAGATTGCCCCTTCATGAACAGAGCCTGAAACATAGCAGGTGCTCAATGCATGTTTATTGTAGGGTATGGATGACTGAGAGTGAAAATTGGGTGGGTGGATATTTGCTCCTTTATCCAACAACTCGCAGGCAGCGTAGGACATCGATGTGCACCAAGACCCTTGTGGGTTCCACATATGTGACTCCACCTTAAACTCCTATCTTCTTTTTTTTAGTGGAGAGTCAACTTAGTGCTTCAAGCAGATTAGACCAAGTACCCTGCTTTTGAGCTATACCCCCAGCCCTTGAATAGAGGGGTAAAGTTCTGAGTATGAGCACTGAAATGGACTTTCTCAGATTATAAGGAAGGACAAGAAAAACCTGGGATACAGAAGTCCAGAAGGGTAAGACTTAGTTTTGTTTCAGTAAAAGATAATGCTAGACTTTTTAGCTTTGCTTTCTGAAGAGCTGGTTTGCAGTAGAACTATGTGAGTAAGGTAACAGACTTGGCGTCCTGAAGGAGTTGGTGATCTTGTTGTGAAAACACAGGTAACAAGATGCAGTAATAACAATGAAGACTAGGACAGCATACAACAGAAAGACTCCTCTTCCCCTTGTCCGAGGTCTTGAAGGAGTTGGTGATCTTGTTGTGGAGTCATTTTTGTTCATTATGTATACCTGGAAAACAGGTAACAAGAAGATGCAGTAGTAAAGGTGAGGAGAAGGACAGCATGCAACAGGAAGACTCCATTCCTCCTCCGTATTCCACCCTCTTGGGATCCCAAGGACTCACCTTGTTGTATTGGAAGAAGGCCAATTGGAATCCATTTCCTAAAGACATCTGGGCACGGCATGACTGTACAATTTGGGTGATGAGTACTGTGCCAAGGACAAGTATCACAGACAGCTGCAGACAATGGGAACGGGGAGGATTTGAACACAGTGTGGGAATTGAGTTCCCTGAGCTTCAACTGCAGCTTTGTGATTGGTCTCTATGACATCACGAAAGTCTCCTGTCAGGATCCTCCTGTGTTTGGTGAAGCTCCGGTGTGTATATGGTAAAAGACTTATCCTACCACTCATGCCAGTAGCCCTCAGAGGAGAGTTGAGTTCTTGTTTGGAAAACCACCTTGGCTGATGGCTTCAGGTGGAGAGCGGAGCCCTAGGTGTGTGGTTGGAGTCAGACAGTGAAACAGACATTGTACTGGGTTGGAGGTGCACAGGGATTGGAGGAGGTAGACAAGACACACAGAGAAGGGAGAGTTGGTAGAGGAGAAAGATGACACTGAGCCACATGGAAAACGTGGAGCCTATAGAGAGAGGTATTGTGGGAGATGAAGAGGACAGTATTAATAAGTGGCATTCTGTCTTTGCTGCCAGACTCTCTGGTGGCTGTGAAGCTTTACAGCAAGCCAGGTGCTGACAGACCTGTCTGGGCTTGGGGCATTGTGTGTGGGAAAGAAATTGGCTTTAAGCCCCTGTGCCTTGAGACAAAGAGTCAGCAATGTCTTTCCCAAAAGCAGGAGAAAACCATGGACGCATTAGTCTTCTGCGTTTTTTCTCCCTGGGCACCCAGGAGTATGAGGTCCTCATGGCAACTAGAAGATCAAATCTCTCTGCCTGCTACTACAGTGTCATCTCTCCCTGCATCTCATATCTGTCATTAAGCCAGTGGATGCAGAAAACTTATGTTTTCCATGGAAAATATTTGTGAATAATAGCACATAAAAAGATTTCCAAATGGAAGTTGCAGCCAGGTGCTGGTAGCTCATGCTTATAATTCTAGCTACTACTCAGGAGGCTGAGATCTGAGAATCGTGGTTTTGAAGCCAGTCTAGGTTAGAAGCCAGCCTAGGCTAGAAAGTTCATGAGACTCTTATCTCCAATGAAACATGCATGCACAAAGCTGGAAATGGAACGTAAAAGCTAAAGGAGAGTGCCTAGTTCTTGAATTCAATCCCCAGGTCTGGGACACACACAGACACAGACACACAGACAGACACACAGACACACACACAGACACACACACACACACACACACACACACACACACACACACAACACCAAATGGAAGCTGCTATTCTGCCTTCCTGAGACCAGCCTACTGGACTAGTTGTATCTTTGTACAGTTAACCCCCAGGCAGTCTGATTTCCCTTTATACATTAAAGGCACTTAGGGAGCTTGCCATATTGAAGAACTACAATGTGACATTCCTGCCCGTGCCGATGCTGCCTGGCCTCCTTATCCACCTCCTGAGAGGCTGACTTTCAGTTTCCTTCTTTCCTGTGAATTCTGATCAGGAACTAGATTCAATCAAATGGAACTGCAAG